ATGCGAATCAAAACTTAAAGACCGTCCGGTGAGGACAAGGTGAGCCAGGACATCTTTCATCTAAGTTGGTCGCATGTACTTCAATAAACTCGTAATGCCAATGGGAATCGATCGGTGCAATTATGGAAAAATCTAAACAAATGATAATATCAAAGGTACAGAATAATATATGTTCTCTGGCACTTTTGACTTGAATCGTTGTGTGAGACTCGGCCCAGCCAGTGGATCCAAAGGACCAGATTTTACTTCGATCCGAAGGAAAGGTACGTTTTTGGAATTATTCCCGAACTCTGCAACAACTTTCTCTTGTGGTAGAGTCCGAAACAGTCAATCATGTTCTCGGAGATGACTGCCTTCCGAAGGGTCATGGAGTAAAACAGTTTTACATTCATTCGTCTCCCATTTGGCAAAATCCCATGAATGGCTCTTGGCCTCTGCCAACAACCTTTAGTCCTTCACCAGCATGAATTATCTGAATTTCCACAATGAAATCTGTGGCATCCCGGTCATAAACAGGTCATAGGAAATGAACATGCTAACTTGACTTGTCAAGAAAGCGGAAATCCTTACTCATCTAAAAACAACAAAATATATGCTTCATATAATATAACCAACCTCATATTGAAGGCTAATAAACTAGTAAAAGCCAAGGTGATACACTTTGGAAAAGCACTTCTAACGCCTTGACCAAACAAAAAAGAAAAAGACTCGCAAGGATCATCTCCTTCTGCTCCTCTACGCCTGCATGTTGACACTCGAAAGACTTTTCCTTTTTTATCCCAATAAAGAACAGATCACAGAGCAATCGGCTCTTATTTCGGCAAATTTTATATGCAGAAAATATATGAAGAAACTCATCCGAGTCTTGGGTCTATGTCCTGCAACTGGAGGTATTGACAACAACATTATAAAGCATTTCCTACCATAGCGAGCAACTTTTGATTTTCCTCACCTCAGGTCTAAAGTTCAAAAATCTTCTCATTAAAAATAAAAACATAATCACTAAACTAAATTCTTTTCGTATATGACTTTTCAAGATCTTTCTTGAAAAATCATTAACTACACGCCCCCCATCCTTCCCCTTCCTTTTCCCATCTTGAATTATGGGTACTGGGAGAATGGTCAGGAATGACTCACTCCTCTGTCTTGGTCATATCTGCTGCATTCATATCGTACTTTGTCAAACCTTTATCGTCAAGTTGTGATTGTCAGGTTCCAGCCTGGAAGAGATGCTGTACAGAAACAACATGACGTATCGCTCCTCCATGAAAGATGTGTACATCTCAACTCTTTGCATGGCCCTCGAAATGGATTCCGCTTTGAGGCGTTTCAATCAAGTCGGCTGTTCTTCTTCTGCTCAAGATGCTGTCGAAAGAATTGGACTTCCCTGTTTGACTGGATTCAGAATGTCTGAAAGATATTAAAAGAGTGAGCCTTATGTACGTCTATTTTATATGAGGGAGCAAACATTTCCACCGGGATCCAAGCTTCTACCATCCCCTTGCGTTTTACAGGCCTGAGCAATGACTTGCTTCGAAATTTATTAAGTTCGCTCAGCGAAATGTCCTGACTGCTACATCCAATGCAGATCGAATCTATCAAAACCTTAATTTGTGCTTGACTTCAAGCCATGCTTTTTCCCTCAGTTTTTGCGGTGGAGCTGTCTGGAAAGTAGTGACTAGAAAAATGAGTGATCGATGTCTACAAAGACTCGGCCTGAGCACTCCAATGCCCCTGGTGTTCACAGAGTCAATTGCCAGTGTAACTATGGCGATTTTCCTAAAAGGTCTTGACTTATTCCGCTCATGTTCGAATGCATGAGAAGTACTGATGAGTCGCACAAATGTGGACTTGCAGACCTGATCATCGAGGAAGTCAAATGAAGCAGATCAAACAGCCCACCATCCGATGCAAGAGCTTGAAACGATCATATCAGGATCATAATCATACTTGCTTGATAATATCTTCATGTTGTTCCCGATGTGCGACCTGGATCGCATTTGGCATCGGGAAATCGACATCAGTCAAGAGTCTCATACACAGAAATAGTATAGAAAGCTTTGACCATGAACATGGCATGGATATTTTCTGCGATGAAATTCAAATGATGATGCCCAGATCACCAACAGCGCCACAGTGTCATTTGCACCGCTGAGCCAGTGGGCTGTGATCTCGAGGTTATGACAGGGGAACGATCATCAGTACAGCTCCACTGTCTTTACCTCCTCGATCTCCAAGAGTTTCGCACATCATTAGTTTCTTGAGTTGAAGAGATCTTATACGAAGGATAGAATAAGATTCTATCCTTCGTATGCACCATCGAAGGATAGAATCTTATGGTGCATACGTGACGCATGCGGAGTTTCAATCCTAAAGACCTAATTGTAGAACGGCCCCATGTGATCACCATAGATGCGACTGCTGACATTTCCGATTAGACGACCGAGGAAATTTACTTGGATCGATGATAACAATCAGTCCTATCCACCACCAAGTCAGTGAAATATTTTAAATCACATACTTTGCTCCCCAGCAGCACAAAGCTGTACTTCGAAGTGCAAGAACTGAAGCACGTTGCTCTTCAGAACAGAGGCCATCTTGCACGAAAGCCTTGGTTCCTGAGCCCTCCTCAGTCATGTTCTCATCCAGGGCTGATCAATTCTTGGAACTTAACAGATGTGTTTCCCAATAATTTTTCCCAACAAATCATGTCCGAAAGCAATTGTAGGTAACTCGATTAAAGTGGATGGTATTCTTCACCCTCCCACTACTTTTTCCGAGATTCTACTCTCACCAAGCACAAACTTCTTTCTCTGACGCACACACCTCGGTCATTCAGTGTGTTGCAGCCCGTCAATAGAACAGGCTGTAGTGACTGTCCAGTTGAATGTCTGAGCATCGCAGAGTCCCACTCATTGACGTTGAGATATTGGTCCAAGCTTTCAGTATCTTACAATCAGACGATCCGGAGACACCCGAGATTTATTCACAACAATGGCTAGTTAAGACAGAACATGACAGAGTAACCCACAGTCGAAAGCTTCCTAATACTTCCTGAATTCTGGCCCTTACACATGCAGCTCACTTGAGAGATTAAAAACTGCCTATTTCTGACGTGTTTCGGTAGGTCAGAAAGATGGAGTTCGGAATTTACTCTGCTCTGCTGACGTTTACTATCTAACGACTAGCGGACGAGATACTTCCTTCAAACAGGTCAGTTTAAGACTGATGAGCAGATCGAAATGAACATGCTGGTCACTGGACATGAGAGAGGTGCGTGATCCCAAACTCAGTATGTCAAGACATGTATACCAGCCAAAGATTCTGGTATCTAGGGGTGACAATCTGGGGTCTCCTTGACAATCTGGAACTCGAGGGGTTTTTCAACAGTCAAATAGAAACTATCAATCCATAAAAGCCTCAAGTGGTTGCTTGTAATCTGAACAGGTGACATCTGTACTCTGCGTTCAAAAGGTTCAGAATGGCATGATCCTTACACTAAACTAAGGACCACAATATCCGCTGGAATAGTTTGGTAATCCATGATTGATGTTTTCAATCCATGAATGCACAGCTCAAAGAAGTTGTATATAAGCGGATTCGAAAGTAGAAAGGCAGTATCATCTATATATTCTCCTTCTGGGAGAATGGAGGGCCTCACCGTGTGAGCATGTGACAGACTAATTTTGTACATTAGAGCCAGGGTAACAAAAGAGTAGATCTCTTTCGATCAGACCATAACACCAAACAATCGGACCAAAATTTTATCTGCTACCTACCTAAATTTGATATGCTATATAATCTTTACTTGCTTGGGTAGGATTATCGAACCGACTGCTTTGTGGGTCGATGAAGCACCAACACCAACAGCCAGACCATGCACTGGCAGCTCTTCACGAGTGGTGAGACCATTAATGTGCTTCTCCATGAAAGGAAGAACAGTACATAGCTATTATAGAGGATATCCACCAAACGGTGCTAATGACCACGCTTTCCCATCCGCCTTGACTCTCATTTTCTATCGTGACTTTTAATAATGCAGTCATAATATAAGATCTGCCCTTGGTCTTGCTTTTTCTAGTGAAATTTTCTACTTTTTCTTGCAAATGTTTAGAAAGCTCTAATGTATAATCATTGAGTTGGTGGTCATAAGGCGGAATTGCGAATATGCTAAAACTTTTGACTCTCTCCGATAGAGGCCAAAGGGGTGGATAGAAAGTTCTAACATAAGTCAGATATTTATAAAGACCTGGCTCCATGCAACATGTATTATATGCATCAGACCTCCTTCCTCTGTGAACTCTGTGGGGACTTGAGTTAGTTTTCGAATCTTTGAAAATGAGTAGCTTGTAAGTATATCGAAAGTTGCCTCGTCAGTCTGCTGTCTGTGAGGATACCTCAGATCGAATCCCACTCCCTTGTATCTATCGCTTGGCTAGGTGACTGCGCCTGCTAAATGATCACGGGTAGGACACTCGGAGAGCACAGAAGAAAGGGCCAGCATAAATGACATGACAAGCAATGCTCGTAATACAGTAGACCTTTTGTCTGAAGCAGCACATTATACCAAGATCACGATAAGTAAGCTTCCTCGGAGAGGTGTCTATCAGGTGGGATGAATAACAGACGAGATTTTTCCCTTGTGTTGTTACAAAAGTCCTAATATTTGCCGTGCTTTATACTGGATGATACACTCAGTCTCTATTGTGTTTGAAGGAGCACAAGTAGCTCTCCACAAACAACGCTGAAAGAAGTACGTGCTTTCTGGTGTGACACTGTTTACAAGTTTCTGCTCTAATGCGGAAGGTACTTGCGAACTTGGTACCACGTGGTTCACAAATGGGAATGGGTTCCGAACTACTGTTAAACAGTTTTTTTGCACTGTTGAAATCATGAACTTTCAGATCATAACAATCACAAACTGACAGGTCTATCGCACATCCAGTGATAAGTAACTAGACTTGCAAGAGACTTTTCGGAATCAAAAATTATTGAATTTCACGCGCTAGAATGAATAATGAATAGTCAGTGTAAATAAGAATAGGATGAGGGATGTGCCTCTCTGTTATACCTCTATAACGCTGAGTCTCTAGTGTCTGAAGCAACTCCTATGGGAAATAAATCATGAACTAAATCTGATTTTCAATTATGTATAAGGGTTAACACCTCTTTCCTTCAACCCTTCTGTGAATTTCTACGCTCAGCTGCAAAGAGAGCAGTCACACTGCCAGCAATTTAATTGTACTCGTCCATGTGAAAGCTGACTGTAACCGCCCTGAAATTTTTATGCCATAAATGCTGCATCATGCCTGATAGAAGCAGTCCCCACTGCATGTATAAGGGTGTCGTTGAAGTCTTGAACCCTTCCCAACCTCGAATCAATTTCATCGTGGAAAACTGCAGTAGATCTTCAAAGTCGTTAATGCTCTTCTCCGGAAGCTGCCATGCTAGAGGCCGCTGTGGATCAGTCCAGACGTGATAGGACAATTGATGTGCAGCCCGGTCCACAAGAATCAGTAATCGCTGCATGGCGGCTAAGCTCGAGGAGATCCGTCGAGAAGACAATCTCCACAATAACCATCTCAATCTGGGGCTAAAATTCTAAGCCTGATCATACCTTCTACATGTCATGGTCACTGCTCTACATAGCTCTGAAGACCAAACACTGTAAGTGAGATGTTCTCCATGATCATGGTACTAAGTTCCAATGCAATTGTACTACATCTGGAGCCCCTGTATCTTCAGTTATGCACTGGACTGGGGTTGCTGTCAGGTACGGTGGTACCTCGAGGAAGCCTTTCAAAATTCTGCCATCCGGACCTTGAGTACATGCTGCTAGATTTCTCGGACCCGACGCAATCGTTGTCGACATAGAACTCTGAGGCCAAAGAATTGTCTACATTTTCGAACGCATCTCCCCCTTCGTTTGCGAGAGGCGAAGGCGCTGCTTGTATATGTAGTAGGATTCTTCCGCATCTCGATTGTTGTGGATATACAGCGATCGCGAGGAGCACATACAGAAGTGGAATGTATTGGTGCAGCTTCATTGTAGGCTGCGCGGACGGACTGATGCCGGTACGTAGTTCTGCTGGATGAAATCCTGAGCTAGTGAGTAGCGACAATTCCGCCTTGGATTCAGATCATTACAGGTTGTGATTTTGGTCGACAGTCCGCTGTATCTCTGCAGATGTGCCAGACGAAGTCCTGCTGCGATCGAAAGGGATTATTCCAACCGCCACCGACTCGGGGCATGGTATGATCAGACAGAGAGAGAGAGAGAAAGAGAGCTAGCTTGAAGACCAGAAAGGAATCGCAGGGGTGGATGGCAAAGGAGCCGGATGGGGGAGGGAATGGAAATCGCACGCAATTACGAGTTAGACTGTTTGTTGTTCGTGCTTGTGTTTTATACTGGCTGGCTCTTGACCCACGCATGTGACCACTTTATGAGACACTCTGATTTGAGACACACCACGCCCCGATCCGATACATGTGTCCAGACGAAAGAAAACGCGGCTGGGCTTACGGTATCACCAAGTACAAGTCAACCTGTTGATGCAAGTCAACAATCTGAGCGGGGTTAAATCCAGCTTTCTGCACACTGAAACCATCTAGGCACAAGCAAACTCGGCCCTACGGATCGAATAAAAAGTTCACCCGGCCAGCAGTGGGAGGCACACAGGTGGCGGGATCGTGGAATCAGGCTGACGAAAACTTGCCCCCGGGATGGCCAAATTTTGGTCAAACTTGCTGAGGACGTTAAAATTGGACACATTTCCACCACTAGCTTGTTCGCTGGCTAGCGGACTCTCAAACCCTTTGAAATTGTCTTCACATTGACGTGTCTGGAGCCTTTATCGTGCACCGACTGCATCCTCGCTAGCGAAAATGGTGGTTCAGCTGGAGCTCGAAGCCGAAGTAATGTTCGTCGGTCGTCAGGTTCCAGGATACCGACCACCACTGGGAGAAAAGCTCTCAGAGTCGCGACTACGGCTGACTAGCAGCGCTACCACATACGTACGCAGTTGACCGAGTGGACGCTGAATCAGAATCGAATGCATTCAATCACGCTGTGGGTGAACTTATTTCGTTGCCAGGGCTAGCAACGTGAGACCGATTGATTCGATGAGTCATGGTGAAGTGAATGAAGATATTAAGCTTTCGAAGCAATCCCGACGAGTGATATTTGCCTGGGAGTCACATGATGACCCCAGAGAGAAGAATTTCCTCCGACCAGTAATCCGGCAGTAATCGGGTTTTACCAGCACGCAGCTGATGGCATTTGCCTTCAGAGTGGTTTAGCTCGGGCTTAGGTCCCTTCTCTGCTTCCACTTTTGCGAGATCAGCATCCGCGAAGCTGCTGCGACGGTGTGATGATCGACCAACGACCACAACTGCGACTCCGACTCGATCCCTCGCTGGCTCGCATGTCCTCTGAATTCAACGCTTGTACATCGCGCCTTTGCCAGAGCTACCGGCAGCGGAGGGGCGTGGACTTAGCCTGGAATATACTCCTACCATCATGATAATAATTAATATAATAACGAGAATGATTTGGGCCTACACGAGCCAAATTCGACGATGTGCGAGCTTCCTCCTCCTCCGCGTACCGCACTCACTCACTCACTGACATGAGACGATGGGCGACTCCTTTGGTCCAAATGTTGGGCCGCAGCCTCAGCCGCAGCACCCCCCGAAATTTCGTTGTACCGACCAGCAGTCTGATCGTTCTGAGCCAGAAGGGAAGGGAAGGGAAGCGAAGCACAACACCACGTTCCCAGTGGTGCTGCATTGCGGGAGACGAATGTCAGGGGGAGGGCAACTACTCACGGCTAGCTCTAATCAATTGCAACCACCGATAGGCAATGGCTTAGCTTCAGCTTTCGGTCTTAGGGAGAGTTTTCAACGCGGCTGACGATTAAAATCAGCTCGCTTGCTCGCTCGCGCGCGAGGAGATGGTGGCTTTAAGAGCCACAGTTTGGTAACACTTTGACTCGGGCATCTAGTGGCCCGTTGGCCTGCGCTGTGCTTCTGATTCTTTTGTGCGTGAGTGTATACTTCGCCGGTCCCCACTTCTTTCGTCAGAAGCCTTTTGAGCTGACTCACTCCGCGCATGCGCGAAGAATGTTTGCAGGAAAACCTGCACCTGCAATTTTGCCCTTAAATCTTCTGTCTTGCGTATCCGTCTCAAGTTTAGGAGCATGTGTATGCACGCGATCCCTTTTCCAGCTCCAGCTCCATCGCCGGTTGACCGCAGATCGCATCTTCGCCTACTCACCCACTCGAAATATTGTACATGTGGATGCCATCCTCTGACTCATGGATAGATGTGTTGTGCACGCGTGACTCGGCCATGGAGCCCTTTGTGGAAAGTTATGCCGCAGTAATAAATTGTTCTGCTGTGTGCTCTCTTAGTGCGCTATCGACCTTCCATCGTTCCTCTCGGAAAATCTGTTTGAATCTTTCTCGATTGGTTTGTACAAGGGGTGGAAAAAACCCAATTTTTTTCGAAAATAATCTCGGATTAATCTATAAACCTTAAAAAACCTGATTTCAACCATGGTTTTAATCATTTGTATTAGACTATTAATTACCTACTCAAATAATAACAAATATCTCATGCTTCTAGAAATTATAAATATTAGTCCTCGCTAATAGATTACAAGTTGATTTTCGTCATTTGGTAAATTCATAGCTTCCATTTTAATAATTTTAACACAGAATCTCACCAGTAATGTATCTCGCTGAATATTAAATTGAAGAACACAGCAGCGGAGTCCTTTAAAACTCGATTTCATACCAATAAAGTTTCAAATTAAAAACCCGATTTCATACCAATAAATAATTACGGGTTTTTTAAAAAAACCTTTTTAAATCTGAAGGCAAAAAACCTGATGGTGCCAGCCCTGGTTTGTACACGTCGGGGCAAATTAGAGGCATTTGAGTCGTACCTCTAAATTGGGCTATCCTTGATAAATCACAACTGTCTTTCACTGGACTCGTTACTCACATCGAGGGACTACATTTGGAGGACATTCTCGGTAGCAATCCTTCTATCGATCGCCGATGTCCAAACGCGTAGCCTCTTTGGACGAGGCGTTAGAAGTGTTTCGGTAACAACGATCCGGAAAAATGTTTTAGAAAATGTCTTAGTTGTGTTCTACATGTAAGGCTTTGCAACTGCTGCCTTTGCAGCAAAAGTGAAGAGAAGGTCTGATGCACTGGGGCCGCCACTCTTCACCACGCAAAGACTTTAAAAAACAATCAAAGACTTGAGGTCCTGAGATGTAAAGAGAAGTAATAAATGCCACAAAAGCAAGAACCACTCACAAGATGGATGCTTAATTCCTCTCTAGATGGGAAAACTGCGAACGGGCTCTACATCGTACTCTGCACAAACCACATGTGATGCCTTATGATAGAGAAGTGATCCCTGCGGTACATGTTTCCCACATTGATCCTGATGGGGGAGTTTGAACCCCCAAATGAATTGTAAGACCTACTCATCCTTGAATAAAGAGTTGAGTTTGCATAATCCAACATGCTTGTTAGAGAATAAGATAACCATAGTAAGCAAATGTAGTATTTCTATAGTTATTATATGATATGGTTTATGTTATAAAACATGTATTCATAGTGCAATTCCGTTAAAGGATGATCCAGTATTTATTAAACTGTCAGAAACTTTTAGGTAGAATAGAACCTATTTACCTGTGCAATTCCATTGGGTCATATCCCCTTGCTTCCCCATCTCAATTTCTAGTTACTTTCTTGAGGTTCGAAGATGAGCTCTGTAAGGCCGGAACAACGGTATAAGGCTACGAGGTTGGGTTTTCAGGGGAAGTCAAAAAGTCTATACTCTACTAGCTTACCGCGTACCGCTACGTTCGCTACGATCGGCACCAATTTTTGGGGCCGGTTGGACTGCGTACCTCCTTATTGCACCATGTGGCAGCCATCTCTCGGTCGTGTGCTTCCAATTTTGACGATATCTCATCAAATAGCTCAAATTGACAAATCCATGTGCGGATGATGGTGATGTTGATGCAGGATCGAATAGATCACATATGATCCTATAGTTACAAAGATCACATCGGAGTAAATATAAATTCAACATGTAAGATTAAACCGCGGTGTTGTAAGGTTACAACCTCACAACTATAATCTATTGGATTATCATTTATAATACATTGGATTGTGTAGGTAGCATTACAATTTATAAGATATTAATCACTCACTCTGTATAAGTACGGTTTGAACATTACACTGAGATTTTGACAATCAAACCATGGGAGACATTTTTGAAGGTTTAACTTTTTGTAGTGTTGTGGACTTATGTTGTGCTAAGAGCACAACATAAGCAACATAAACAAGCACAACACTTCAGATTATTCAAATCTTATAATTTATATACTGGGTTGTATATGAAATAGAGATATAAAATCAAACCAAAATTTGAATTAATTTTCTAGATTTACACTGAGAACTTTATTATTATTCTTGCAATTATTACAAGTCACTTTTGGTCTATTTTAAGACTAAAATGTGATAAAAGTAATCAATTACTAAAACTATATCATCTAATTTTAAAAACAGCATACATTTGGAAATTAAAACATCTTTCTTCAAGTTTTTTTTATCAAATTTTAAGTAAAAAATCATTCATAAAATATAGAAGAAAAAAATTTAAAGTCTAAATTTTTATAAAGTGTGATCGTTAAAATTAAAATTTCAGATTAAAATATAATTCAATTTCATAATTAAGATTAAAGAAACAAAAAAAATTCAAAATCTATTTAATTTCAAATCTGAATAGTCAAATATGAATATCTAAATTTACTTGCCAAAAAATAAAAGAAGAAATAATGTATTTAATTAATATATAAACGTTTAAAAATTTTCAAAGTATAATCTATGAAATAGGTTAGTAATTAACCTAGATATTTCAATCACCGTTTACAAGTATAATAAAAAACTTTACATCATAATTAATATGAGTACAACGTAGCTCTTCACCTCTTGGAGTGCTTCATACAAATGATCTAGAAGTTACAAGGTAGTCAAATACCAATTACTCATATAATAAAGGGGGCTGATAAATGGATATCACTTTCTTGATATATGGACATCACCCCCTCCGTCTCGTGATTGCGCCACGCATTTGGTGGGGGGAGTTAGGCCGCAAGTAGGGACTAGAGGGCTACCTACAAAGTTTGTCTCGCACTTTTGCTAAGCAAGGGCCCAATGTAGAGGCGAGGTGTGAGAGATATAGAGGCCTCCCTTGATCCCACCTAGGGCTCTGATCGAATTCGGATGAAACCCGAAAACCCGAGTTCGGGTTGGATCGAATCCGAGTTTGGGTAGA